GATTACTGTTGAAGGGTTACAAAATGTTTTAAGCGGAGATATTCTGTTAGATGTACGCTCAAGAAAATGTTTGATGTATAAACGGATTGGAAGGACTAGAATTTTTGAGATTACTTTATGCCATTTTTTTTTCACTACCTTTTTATCTTCTATTCTTACAATTGCCGCGGCTTTAGCCGACGTCGATGATGATAACGATGACAACGATCAAGACGGTAGAATAGCGTTTGATTTTAATCTTACATTAGAAAAAAAAAGTTTAGCCATTGTTCAACTAGTGTAAATGTGCTGTTATTATTTGTTTTTCAGTTATCTTCAGTTATGCTAAAGTTAATTCGGCTATGCAATGTTATTTATTAACGTGTTCATAAATTTATTCATTCATCTGTTCAAAATAATTCAAGTATTTTTGTTGTTACTTGATGACTGGACTGCTTTTTTTTTTGATATTAATGCATCAGTCTACAACACAATCAAATTCCAACAATAATTGTACTGGCAAACAACAACCTTAGTGGTTTCTTGTTATTTTTTCTTTGCCTGACTGACTGATATACCACTGTCTCGCAGTAAGGCTACCATTTTGTGATTCCCTTTCTCTTCCTCCCAAAGGGAAGAATGGGAGGAAAGGGGGAAGGGGAAAGAGAAAAAAAGTTATTAGAAATTTTGTTATTGCTTGTCAAGAATGTAAAAGAATTTTTTTGAATTGATATCTTAGCTGTTGGTTAAAAGTAGTTTTAAAAAAATAAGTGTGTGGAGAGAATGGGGAACAGAACAGTTGAAAGTAAAAACTAGAAGAAAAAATTGGGAAAGAACGATGGATAATTTATTAATTAAAAAGAAAAAAAATCGCGAACAGAAGCATTGAGTTTTTTTCGATTTCTTTAATTTAAAATCAGTTAATTGGATGGTGTTTTTTCTTTTTCTTTTTATTTTTTGATAATATTACCGTTTTACTGTATTCTATTTCTGTCTTTGTTTGTCAGTCTTTTTTCCTGATACTTTACGTCACAAGTTTTCTTTTTTTTCTTCGTTCTTATCATTCTTAAAAGAAAGTTATATTCAAACATAGCTTTTTTACTTATTTTGAAACTTCTGGTCTATTTATGTGAATGACTGTTTCTTTTACAAGTCTAATACGTTGCTGCACTGACAAAGCGCAGAATTTAGCAAAAAAAGAAAACTGAGATAAAAACAGTATCTCAGAAGTTATGGACGAAATAACTTTTTACACTGTTTTTTTTTTTTTTTTTATTTTGTCCTAAAAGCCATTAAATTGGAGGAGAAAATGAGCAGCGAAAATTGAGGATTAGTGTTGATGGGGAGCGCAGAAAGATGTTTGGAGTTAGGGAAAGAAGGGACCACGTTTAGAATTGGCGTTTGAAACTGAAACCAAATTTGCATATTTGATTAAGGCTTTAGGTTGAAGGTGTTCTTAGTGAGGGATCTTGGAGAATATTTGACCAATTTTGTTCTATTAAATTACTAACGATTTTTCGTTTTTTTTTTCAGAGCTTTTTTTGGTGGCTAAGTCTTTGTTTCTGCATATCTTCGGCTTTTGTGCTTCTGTTTGTCTGAGCGTAAGTGTTTGCGCCTGATCGGTGTAATTGTTTTTTTTGATTAGTTGGAGGACCTTTTTGACGAAAATGATTATTGTTAATGATTTGCACTGGTTTTGTTCGGGGGTTGCGCACATTCGTCAAATATTTTAAAGAACAAATTATATGTATTTGATTCTTTCAATTTTTCAGTTGTTTTTTTTTTTGGCATTTTTGCTGCTGCAGAGAAGAAGACAACAAATCAAAGCAAAAATTAAAAGAAAAAAGAAGCAAATTCAAATTCTTTTTTTAGTATATAGAAGGAGAGGCGAGGGAGGGGAAGGAAAGGGTAATGAAAAGTTTGAAAAACAGAAGTAAACAGCTGCAGCAACAGCAATAAAGGAGAAATTATTTGACACAACCATTTAACAAATTCATATCTATTTCGTTGGCCTTTTAATTGAGCAAGAAAAATCTTCACGACTTTAGCTTTCAGTTTTTTATAATCGAACTGTATGAAAAGAATTAAGAAGAAAAATTTTGCGTTTGTCACCCAAAAGATAAATTTACCACTAAAACAGAGCGTTTGCGCTAACACAAAACAGTTGTTTTGGTAGATGTTAAGTCAAAGATAGATTTATGGAAGGTTAAGATGAAAATATCTAGTACGATAGGGCAATTTGTGGAAAACAGAATTAAAGTTTCATTCATATTGTTTACAACTGGGATAATGTTATTGGAAAGCATGAAAAACTAGTGAATAAAATTACCGGATAAGATCAAACTGGTTTTACCGGCGAATAACATTCTTAGAGAGGCTGTTGTAATCAATAGGAACTGTAAACTCGGGTCGCGTAGCAGTACTGTTGTTGTTGTTAATAACTATTAGGGTTTACGTTTATGGGCTGTATAAAGACAGTTACTGAAGAAACTCTTAATTTGTATCAGTTAAATGGAATGAAGAATAATTGTACAAAACACCGAAGGCCGTCATTGGTGCCTCAATGAACATCTGGACGGCTGAAAACCATGGAAAGACAGAGGCCCAAAAGACGGTAAAATCAGACGGAACAACTGTTGAAAATTCATTTTCTTCGGTTTTTTTTTCTTTTTTTTTGTCTTTTCTTTTCCTTTGCCTGTTTCTTTTTTTTTTTTTTTACTTTTTTACTGCAAATTTTGGATCGGTTACAGTGATTTTCGAGGACTTCTATTTAAAGAAAATTATTTTCAAATGTCTACTTTCATGTACAGTATCGGCACTGCGGCGTTTAACCATTTTGGATTCTCGTCTACTGTTTCAATTAACAGTAATAAAACATTGTCGGTATTTATTTGCAAGAGTCAAGAAAAAATCAAAAAAATTTTCTTTTACTTTCTTCCTCATAATTGTTGATGTTGCTTTAAAAACTCACAGTTGTTTATTGTGTGTCTGTACACACAGTCACATGCATAAGTAGAGGAACTAATAAAGTATAGTTTAAATGTTCGTTTTGTTAATTGTTGTCATTTGGTGGTTTGTTTTCTTTGTTGTTTTCATCAGCCTTCTTTTCTTTTTTCTATTTGATCGCACAGTCGACATTCATCATTAGCATAAATGAATTGATTGCTAATAACGAAATTGTTTCCATCCAATTAACAGTAATAAAAAAAAAAAACCATTTTTCTTTTATTTCAGTTGTGAACGATCTGTTTCGCTCAGTTCGGCATTGAAAAAACCGAACAGCCGCGGCGACAAAAAAGTTGTGCATTTTGCCGACTCTTTAGGATTGGATTTGGTTCACATTCTACCGTTAGCTTCTCTGTGCGACCCGAACGACGAAATTTTTGGCACCACACCACCACTTCTTATTCCGGGGCAGGCATTTTTTTTTGTCGTTGTGGCATTTACACAGACAGAAATAGTGTTTGAAAAGACTTCAGAAAGTGTAAAAAGACTTAAAGACATGTAAAAAGATTTGTAGATTCCATCAGCGGGCTTACATAACTCCTGTCAAGCCACAAGAAGCGATCCGAAAAATCAGCACTGTTACACCACCTTCATCAACGTATTTACATTTGCTTTTCACGACAATCGGGGGTTATGCGTGGGAGGATACCGGAGTAAAGAACAATCGTTTAATTGAGAAAACTTTTCGAAATGGTATTTGTTTGAAAACGGTGGAAACTCGAGGAACAAATATTACTGGAACTATTGCAGTTGTTAACTATGAATATGCAAAAGAGGTAAATTTTTTTTTTACTTGCACTTTTTTTATGCTATTAAATTTTATAATTTGGTTTTTTGATGATAGATTTGGCCAATAATACTGGAATAATTTTAAGGTTAGAAAAGGTCATTTTGTTAAGTTTACAAAAATAGGCCGACATTGAATTTAGCCAGCATCTATGGTTAAGGATTCAAAAGTTTACTGACTTGCTATTGAATCAGATACAGTAACTGAAGGAGAAAAAAAAAAGAAGTGGAATGAGTGAGGCGAAAATTAATCAACAGTGGCTTTTTTCACGAGATTTAAAAAATTTGTAAACTGTTGAATAATGTCTTGATATTTAGGGATTCAAAGTTTGAACTGTTACGTACGAATTTTAGGTTTACGTGAGGTATACCTTGGATAATTGGAGTAGTTACATTGAAGTACCGGCAGTATACATATACAAGAAATTTGCTGACAACATCGACATGTTTTCGTTCTCATTGTTTTTACCACAGATGTTACCAGTTGGTGCTAAGTGCGAGTTCTGTCTAAGGTACGTAATTAGGAAGAGGAAATCTGTCGTCTATGTTGCAATATTATTAGTTGCTTCCAATCAGTAACAATGTTTTTTTTTTTTCAAAAGTAAATTTTTTGCTCTATTAACTGGTTGGTAGGCGTGATGAAGAGAAAGTGGAAAAAAACGATGTATTATTTAAGGTGTTTGTTGGATTTTAGTTGTACTCGTTATGGTTCATTAATTGGTTTTCTTAGTCGCTTTCTTTTATTGTTACTGGTTTATTGTTCAAGGTTTCCTGCCTGAGTGTTTGCTATTTTAAACTTTTTACTTTCTATCTATTATTAAAGCGTACCTTGTATATTCAGATACCGGTGCGGTGGCAGAGATTACTGGGATAACAATGATACCGGCAACTATGTCGTTGAGGTGCGTTCGTTGAATTTCGATCAGAATGACGAAGACGAAGGCATCTATGGTTTAAGATATGGCTCGAAGAAGTGGCTGTAAAAAGGCTATTTCTGTAGCCATCGTCAAATGCTACTTGTAACATTTATAAAGTTGAGCAAGAAAAAAACGAAAAGAAAAAAGTGGAATCTTTTAGTGGGTTGCGTATTATAAATATTTTTTGTACGGTTGATTGTGATTTTTATAAGTGCGAGTTGTACGTCTTAAGACAAACGAAGAAGTGGAAGGGGAAAAAACAACTTTTGGACGTTTGGGGATGAATAGTTTGTTGTACTGACACTGAACAAATTTATGATGGTATTTGGGTAATCTAAGTTTTATCTTCTTAGATTCCCTCTTTAGTGGTGAGGACCAGCGTTGGTGCCGCTACTGACAAACTGTGTTAAGCGACAGGCTACTTGAGTATGGGTATTGAAAATGTCACCGTGACTCATATAGTTAGGGTAGAAAAATGCTCTTATAAATTACCGGTCAACTTAGGCTACATCTTTTTTTTTTGGTACAGTTTTTTGTTGTTAGGATTTTTTGCTTTTGCTTCCTTCTATTTTTTAGTTTTTCAGTGGTAAAACTAATTGATGTGTTAGGCTAATCTTTGTATTTTTGAACAATCATAATTCTGAGAATCAGCATTAGGTTAATTTGAAGCATATTTTGTTTTCTTTTTTTATACTACCCCCTGTCTCTGTGTTTGTCTATTTGTTGAACATATAATCGAGCACAGTACTGCTGATTGCTGTACAAAATACTGTTTTTTCTTATTTTATTACGTTTTTTAGGTGTTACATTTATGCTTCATTTTGTTTTGTATCAGTTTGCCCAGTTTTGTATTAGTTAACTGTAAAGAAAAGAAAAATTGAATTTTTCTTTTTTTGTTTTCTGATTCGTTTGGGAGAGGTAATTTGTTTGTTTTTTTTTTCTCAGAATAGGTTTCTTGGCTTTTCAAATTTGGTAGATGCAACTCTATTTAGAGAAGAAGAAGAAGAAGAAGAAGAAGAAGAAGAAGAAGAAGACGGGTAATGATGAATAACAGTTGTTTAAGAAATTTGGTTTTTCTCTTTTTATTTTCTCCTGTAAAGCATTTGCCACTGTTATAATCTTGGACACCTTCAGGTCTTTGTATGCTTCTAAGTGTGAGTTGTGTTTATATATGCGTGTTTGGGTATACTGAGTATTTTTGTGCGTGTGTAAGTGTGTGAATATGAATTTGTTTAATTTTTTCAGTTTTTTTTCGTTTTTTTTTTTTGCTTGTTGCATTTCACCTTTCAATCTTGTGCATTACATTAATATTACTATTAAAATTTGGTATATATACACATAGGTTGGATCTGTTCCGATGACTGTATTTGTAGGATTGTTTAGCTGACTGAGTGTAGGTTGAGTTTCTGTTGGTTTTTATAAGTAAATAAATAGGTATAGTTTTGTCTGTGTGGTTCTGTGTGTATGTATATATGTAAGTGTAGATGTATGTGTGGCGGTAGGCATGAGCATATTAAGGAGCAATAATAATTCAGTTTATCGGAACAGTAGAAAATGTGTGGAAGCGACATGATCTGTGTTCAACAATTTATCTATATTTAGATGGGGGGAGGAGGAGGGAGAGGGAAACAAAATTGTATTTTGGGTAATTTTAGATGCTTAATGCAGTGATTAAAGTTGGGAAGCAGGCGACAACCTGAAGGTGGTTAATAAGTAATTGGTTATAAAAAATAAATTGTATGTTCTTTCAACAGAAAACTTACTTGGTCTTTTTTTTTCTGTTTGATAGTTCACTGCTTTTTTAATAAGTGAAAAAAAAAGAACAAAAACAGTAGGTCATGTATTTTGGGACAACCAATTGTGCGCTTGTATATTTATCAACATTTTCTGGTTCAACTTTTCTTTGCTCGTTCATATTTTTTTTTTTTGTGGTTTTTATCGTTACAGTTTTTTACTCATTTTGTCGGCTTTTTCTCTGAAACTACAATGATATATATGAAAACGTGTTTTACTTATCGCGGGTATACATTATCAATAAAAGTTAGTTTTTTTGACTCTTTTTTTCTTCTTTTTACTTCACATTTATATTTGTCTATCTGTAAGAGATATTGATCAGTGAAAAGCGGAAATAGGAAGGGTGCAAAAAAAGAAAAATGCTCAATTTTTTATTTTACAATTATCAAACAACACGAACAAAGTGTTTATGAACAGAAACAATGGTTATTTAGTATTTATATTTGCTCACCGTTTTTCATTGTTTTGTTCAATTTGTCACCTGTATATGTACCTGGCCTGTGGATTCTTGGTAGAGAGCAAGAAGAAGGAAAAAGAAAAAAATGAAAAAAAAAGTTGCTATTGCTGATGCTGCTGCTACTTTGCTGTGGATGATAATGCTTATTTTTTTATATCAAGCCTTAATTTGGAAACAGGAAATGAACTTTTTTTATTGTTTCTGTGTTCTCACATTTTTGACTGTTATTTATTGAAATAAAGAGATGAGAGCAAACAGTGTTTTTGTTGGCTTTTATTTGTTCTTTTGAAGTCGCTATTGTGCCGAAGGTTACAAGTGGGATAATGGGACGTCGTCGTGCAGTTTAGTCGAGAAATTCTAAGCATGTTTTTTTTTTAGTTTTTTACTTCTGTATTCTGCTTTTGGAAGTCCAACAAGTGTGTACACAGTGATCTGCTGAATCAAGGTCAATGATCGTGAATATAACGGCAAAGACAGTGGACGAAGTTATAGTAATTACCACGTCTAAGAAAAAGTGTTGGCTACCGGGGTTGTAGTGTATCTTAATGGGGCAGGTTGCATTGTAGTGTAACAAAAATTTACTCTTCTAATGTTGGGCATTTGTTCCCGATATATTTTTTTCAAAGTATGTGATCTATAAGTTTCTTGAAAAATATGGGCGGCAAAGAGTCAACGTAATTTTGCTGAGTAAAATAACGTTGAGAAATAATTACCATAAACGGGAAAAAAATTTGTTTCTGTCTTTGTTAAAACTTCTCGTTTTCCTTTCTTACAATTTTATTTGAATTTTTGTTTGGTTATAAAAGGTTGTCAAGGAAAAAGCAAAAAAGAAAAATGAAACAGGAAAAGATTGAAAATATTTTAATTGTTTTGTTTGATAATGCACTGTATTTGTACGTGTAATTATCCAGAACAATTTTTTTAAAATTAAATGCATAGGTCTACCAGCTGTATCTGCCAGTTTCTCTTTTATATTCCCTCTTGCACATCAAAGTTGTCGGGTACGTGAGTACAGATGCAGGGGGACTACTGGCAGTATCAGAAGAGAAAGTAACAGTCGTAGCTCTGTTTCCATTTATGCCAAGAAACGGCAAAAAAATTTCATTTGTACATACAAAATAAACTCATAAATCTAAATAAAACAACCTTTTTTTGGTCGCTTTTTCTTTTTGCAACCAAAAAACAGCGTTTTAAAAATTTCAACTTTTTAGACTTGATTTGTGCAGTATCAACGTCTCTTTCATCATTTAATTACTCTTTGAACACAGAAATGAATAGATAAAGTAAAAAAAAAATCTATTTTAAAGAAAATATAAACTTACAAACTGAATTACTTGTCTTGAAATAAATTACACACATTTACAAATGTCGATAGCTACTTTTTCCACTGAGTAAATGCATGAATCAGGAAAGGCTATAGGATGCGGTTGAGCACCTCGAACTCCGGTTGCAGCAAACAGGACAGCGGCTGAACAGAAATCTATCACGCAAAAAAGTATTCTGCACTGACCACAGTTCCAAAGGTCTGTCAGATAATTTTCAAAACATCAGCAGTGTTGTTACATTGAATAGATAGTTAAAATAAACATAAAATTTTTTTGTTCGATGATTAATAGACATTAACTAAATAGACGGCTAACAGCTACAAGCTTAGTACTGTTTAGAAAACGTGGAAAAATGTTGGTAGACAATAAAATCAATAAAATTTTTCTTACTTTTTTTTAAGCTTTCTCTCTCTTTATTTTTTTCTTTTTTTGCTTCTATCTTTTTTGGATTCTAATAAAATGATATATTATTAGATCAGGTGGTACCGGCAACTGGAAGAAACACAGACGTTACTGTTGTTGGTGACGATGCTGCTCTTGGCAGTGTTGTTGGCGGTCTGGCAAAGTTGGTACCGTTTAGTACCAACTTGTATCGCTGTTGGCTTTCTGTTTTTTCAACACTTTCATACCTCCTTGTTCAAAAGAAAAAAAAAAGCTCCCATTTTTGATCTTCGTAGTACGTACATTTAGTTATGCACATTTCATACTCTTTTTGCTCAAAATTTATTAATCGTTCAACATTCTAATGAAGCTTATCTTTCCTTCCTTACCACGTTTGCTGCTAGCTTTTTCTTCTCTTCCTCTCACTTAATTTTTGCTCACAAAAACAAATGTAGACCTGGAAAATTGTAAACAATATAAAAACTTGTAGACAATATATAATAGCTACGACAGAAGGTATCCAAATGCTGAAATGAGTAGCGAAAGAGGACGAACGAAGAGCAGAATAAGTGGAAAGCGGGAGAAGGTAGGCGACAGAGTAGATGAGTAGGGAAAGAAGAGCATAGCAGAAAAAAAGATGAGCTAATTTGCTCAGAGCTGAAAAGTGTTCTTTCATAAAAGTAGTGTATAATTTTTCAATTTGTATCAAATAAATATAGAATTTTAGCAACAATTTAATATGATTATATTACTGCCATCATCAATATTAATGTATCAGTAAAACCATTTTTTCACACACACAAAAAAAAAAACAATCTTTAGTTTCAACTTGAAGTTCTGAACTTATTTCAGTTATAACCGATCTTTATCCATTCCAGTTTCAGATTTACTGCTTCAATAAACAAACAACTAATGTTACTTGCAAAAAATTTTAAAAAATGGTATATTTTTGTTTTGCTTTTTCGTCTCTATTTTCAAATTCAAAGTCGAAGTGTATTTTAGAGAACAAAAAATGGCTTTGAAATTTGTTTGATAAAGTTTTATACCTTATATTTAATTTTGAATACCTTAGTTGCATTAAAGGTAGTTAAAAAAAAAATGAAAATTTC